CTTTGGGCTTGTTTATCGCACTGAAAGCGTGACACAGCAATGATGACCGATGAAGTCAAGAGAGAGGGGAAATCAGCATTGAAGCGACCTTGTTTTAACCAATAGGTCACATGAATACATGGATAGCAAGGGAAATGTCTCTTGCCAGGCACAATCTCTATCCAACCCTTTGTTTGAGATGTTCAATCTCATTTACTTCTTGAAATTGTGACTCATTTCTGAACCATGGGGTCCTGTTATTACTGACAGAGGCAGACAATCAGGATTCTCGTTTCTAGCCAGCGTCTGCCGATTAATCAAGCCGACGTTCACCACAGGAGTCCCCGTCTGACCTTTTACTGTTTCTGACTAGTTCTAAAACAAGAACGCTTAAGGGTCTTAAACTGAGGTTGAAGCTACATATCAAAGGCAAACAAATTCAGCATCCTCACCAGTACATTTTCCATGTAGAAGGCAAATAAAGAGCAACTGAGTCCTAGTACAGAAATTAAAGGGAATATGGAAAGTTATTCTATTCTAACATAAACCTAATGCTCTGTTGAGCTAAATTTCAGATTTTCGCGTTAATGCAATCGGCAGAAGTAAATATCTAATGCAAGGCTTTTAACGAACTGCATCATGTTAGCATAGCCTTGCATGACGCTAATCTAAAGATGGATTTGTGTTGGCGTGATGACGTTTAGTAGTTATTTGGTCACTTGTTAGGATCTTCGGAGACTCACGACTGAGGTAATACTGAAGTCATTTTTTTATTAAATAAAACTTGACAATCTATTAGGCTTGTGTTAACCCCATAACTAATTTAAGGCATCTAACCACCAATATGGTAAAACAAAGTTGACTTGTAGACAAGGTAAGCAGAAGAAGTAAAATGCTAAGTAATTTCCAGGTCTTGGGACTCATTCGTGCACCACTTTACTGTTTACCTTAAAACAGTTCAGCAGATACTCAATTCATCAGAAAAGATCAGTACCGTCTTTGCACTTATTGACGCTTGCATACGGAGGGTCAAGACTCCTAACCTCCTAACCATGAAAACAAGTTGTGTTGTATAAATGAAAATACTTTTGCTAATACAGTACAAACATGCAATACAATATATTGATATGCTCTCATTTACAATATTCTGCCGGTTCAGCTGCCCAATTTTCGCTCCTTTTAATTATTTGAAATGAAATAACTTTAGACAGAGGATCAGACTAAACAAGCAAATTGACCAAGCATGCAAAATGAACAATACATGTTGTTCCCCTAGGTTGAAAAAGACCTATGCATGACCTTTATTAACTGATCAGCCACTAATTTGTGTCACAAAGGCAAAACTGCTCCAGAGCAATGCTTATTGGAAAATGATTTGCATGCCTCTGGGGAGTCTGAGGCTGTCAGTAAGCCAATACTTTGGCTTAAGAATGATGAGAGAGTAAGAGTTAGAACTAGAAGACATGCAAACTAGAAATATCAGTCAATGTAACATTGACTTCATGACCAAGGGATTCACGTATAATCTTGCCAATATATCTTCCACAACAATGTGTTGGCAGCAGCCCAGATGCAGTTTTAGCCCCTACCTGTGAAAAAGGAATGAGCTCTGAATACAGAGTGGCTGCACATCTATTAACAGGACTCAGAAACAAGCAACGCTATTAATCATTTTCAGTCATCTCTAGCCGGCAGCAATTTGTTCATTCAGTAATTCGGATATAAAATGGAAGGTGGGGGTGGGAAGAGGCAGGGGCAGGGTAATGTGGCGAGGTAAAGACGGGATATAAGTGAACAGGAGTTGGCACAGGGTTTGTGCAGCACGGTCGGGCACGCTAAAATATTAGCGTCTCGGGCTGTGAATATTCATACGTGGTTGTCCCAATCATCATCAGATTGTGGAGGACAAAGCCGTGTCCCTGGAGTGTAATTTGATTCTACATGTTCCTGCTTAATTTCCAAGGACAGGTGGCTCCGGGCAGAGAGGGTGAATGCTTGGAGGTGAAGCTGTGGCTGCAACATGTTTCAGCCAACAGGAGGCCAGTAGTGGACTGCTGGGTCATCATGACAAGTGAATATGACCTCAAGTCATGACTGTCTGCGTGGGGCCAATGACAATGGCTCAGACTGTGGTGAACATGCCTCCACACATCTTTATGGTTGTTACTATTCCTTCACAACACCTAAGCAATCCAAAAACAGCTTATAAGAGTTCTGCAAAGAAGAGTGACTGATCAAGGCATTATTGTATCAAGATATTCAATACTTCAACAGCAGATATTTCCTGCTCTAAATGAGGATACTATCATTCATAAAAGCAAGGGGGAGGGTAGTGTTGTACAGCAACTGGAGCGTGCACACACACAAGTACACTCCCTGGATCTGCGTGTCTGTTTCCAAAAGGTTACCAAGCAACCAGATCCTGGCCAGGGCCTTTGGTCGTAGGCTTATCAGGTAACTGCTTTCTGCGCCTGATCACATGTTCACTAGGTTTCTGTTTGCTTGACTTTTGACCAAAACAAGGAGTGGAAGAGAACACATGAAGGGTCCGGAAGAACTTTAATTAGGGGAAATTATTGTTCAGGATCAGGAATGAGAAATATACAGACTAAATTAAAAAAATGTGTGTTGATAAAAGGAAGAAGTGGACAGATATGACGGGCAGGTCTAGCCACGGTGTTTAATGATTGACAAACACATAATGTTTCTTGGAGAAGCTCTAGATGACAGATTTAAAAGGCAGAACAGCTGGGGGCAGGCAGCTTGCCTTTTTCTATAAACTGTGGTAATACATTTTCTTTATTCAAATAAAATGATGAAATTAATTTATAAACCTTTCAAATAACTTAAAATGTTGTTAGCAGAACTATGTGTCAGCCCTTGCATGTAACACTGTTCAGTGTTTGTAACAGCATCTGTTGCATTGTCACGAGTGCATGCCAACCCAACAGCAACTTCATCTCTGATAACATTGTCATATCAAAAAACATCTCCACAAAGAAGAGGGGGGAACCATCAAAGAAGCATTTGCACAACTACACTGTGTACAAATGTCCTTTACTATTTTCTTTATAGACTCAAATTGTTTAGAAGCTTGACTTGTAATATGATGACTGGCTAAATACTCATCAATGACTACAAATTAAAGCATTTAAGATCTTCCTTTTACACAACATTCATTTTCTTCATTTTGTCAACATTATATATGCCATGTGATCACAGACAAATAGAGCAAGGAAAGCGGAGCATAACGACCCCATTTGTTATTTTGCCTTTTAAGAGGGGTTGGGCTATTATTGTGTATTACTAAGCCATGCTAAAAGAATGCTACGAGTCTGGCAGATACTGTTTTTGTTCGCTGAAGTAGAACAGCGCCCAAATGATGAGGCCATGATTCCATTAAGATGGTAATGAGTCCAAACTAGTGTACAAAACAATGGTAGTCATGAGACAAAAGAAGGCTTAACAACATGCTGTATACAACCTTATATTACACCAATGCCCCTGCTTTTACAAAGAGAGTTGTCCTGGATGAAACTAAACAAAGCACATCTTCCTCACATACGGTTTCTCACTAAGAAGCAGAATGGGATGTCATTGCCCTGACCATGGCTCTGTGGCTTCCCATTCAAATCTCAAAACTTTTCAATAACCACTGCATTGCACAAGCCAACAGAGGAGTCTGTAGAAAAAGTTTCACATTATTGTTTGGAGTGGGAGGAGTGATCAGCTAGTTTCAGGGTAAATTCCAGGGAGGCCACACCCATACGAATCAAATTGCTACAAATAACAAAACTGAAGAGGTATATTAATACTTTTAAGATGAATAAACTAAGATTGATATTATATAGTTTATCACATTAGCAATGTTTCTACATGTATCACCCCGATGAGACAAAAACAGTTTGACATTTTTGGATACAAACTTGAATTTGTATTCAACTGTATTGCTTTGAATGACAAACATGCCAAAAGGTAAGTTAGTGGTAGCCACACTTGAGTTAAAATAAAGCCCTTGTCTCTGCCCATGTGGTTTCCAGTCCAATAAAGAATATATGATATCCTTTGAATAATTAACTATAAGTTAGTTAAGGTTAAAAATAACTATTCTGTTGTTCAAAGGTTTCACAACCTCCACTGTTATCTACCAACCTACGGTGTCAACAAACAGCAGAACCCTCGTTGAGGGTGACCTAACTTTCATATTGGAAGGATTAAAAAGGTAAAGACACCCATTTAAGCAGAGATGTCCACAGGAGCAACATGTGGTTATGTTACATGCGATGGTGTGGGATTTGGGACTGTGGAAGGGGGGTGGGGGGGTTCAGCACTGATGGCAGATGGCAGACAAAAATGCCGCCCTTTGAAGTCCTGCAGCCACAGGTTTGAGAGCGGATTAAGATATTGTTTTAACCACCACCACCAGATATCAAACGGAAATAATAGCTACCATCTCATTTCTGTCCGAGGATCAAACATATTGCCATATATTTAAACATTCCCTTAGACAAGACCATTAACCTCAAGACAACCACTTATTACCTGTTAAACATGTTAAATAAACCACTGTTTGTAACGCATGGGGTTATTGAGATAAAATGCATGAAATAAAGTAAGAAAACGTACATTATCAGTAAAAGCTTAGTAATAAAGTTTGCATACAATGTTGGTAACTAGTTTAACTGAATGTGGTTTGTCCGGACGCTTGTTCTGGTGTGCAAGCTAACTAAACTGACCTGTTGTCAGAGTTACTCGGAGTAAATTCAAGTGTATTAAAATGTGGTTTGGTACTACTACTACTACTACTGAGCCAGTTGAATTTTAACCATAACATAAAGGTAATATAACACAACATAAAGTTTTCAGCATGTTTTACTTCTTGAACCAGGCATGTTCCGTGATAAGGCCAGCGTTGTTGTAACGTGACACGGCTGACCAGACTGTGCTCGCCGCCGTTTTAGTAAAAAGAATCCATGAGAATCACAAAGTGTCTCCCCGGCAGTTGGGAGCAGAAAACTTACCTGCACAGAGGCTCAGCAGTACACAGCAAAAGTGGCCTATCGTAAGCTCCATTCCTGTTCCAGCTATTCCACGACTTCCTCAGTGAAACTCGGTCGAAGAACTTGTGTTGAGTTCGAGTGAAAAGCGGCAGATCAGCTCGACCGAGCATCCAAACTCCACTCCTCCTCCTCCTCCTCCTCTCTGCAGGTGCACAGTGGAGCGCGCCGCAAGCTGTCACGTGATAAGCGGAGTTTCCAAACTAGATCCGGTGTCGCCATCTGCCGGTCTGAAGCGGAAGCAGTATGAAAAAACAGCCGTGCTGTCCTGTATTAGGTTTCAAGGCTTTTATTTCTCATACGTGCATAGCTACAGTGTAGTTATGACGATGAAAATCGTAGGTCACGTATTATTTACCACATGTGGAACAAGTACTAAGAGATTGTGTACTTAAGATTGTGTACTTAAAAGTAATCGTTATGCAGATTGGCCCATTTCAGAATCATATATATTATGTTTTGATGTGTTTATCAAGCTGGTAAAGGTGGAACTAATTTCAATTACTTTATTTACTGCTGGGTAGAATGTGAATTTAATTCAGTTTTATCTAAAGTATTTTTTAAGTGTTGATTCTATTGTTTATCATTAATATATATCTTCAGAATAACTAAAGGTTCTACAAAATTGTAGTGGAGTAGAAGAAAAAAACAACATAACATGGAAATATGCAAGTGCAGTACAAGTACCTCAAAAGTATACTCAAGTACAGTACTTCTGTAAATGTAATGAGTTACTTAACACCACTGATAATACATGTCCTATAGATGCAATTTAGGGTTAGAATATTGTCCAAGGACACTCCACACGTTCCCCATGTGCTTTCCATCCAGGAACAATTGTGGAAGATAACAATTTGTACAACTTTGATGGAGTCAAAGTCCTCTCCCTTTTCCCAGTCTAAAGTTTGTATTATTCAAGAATATTTCTATATTTCAAAATGGTGAAATTGTACATATACATTTTCAGATTCTGTTTCATAGTTAACCTTTTATATTCAAATTCTTAATCCATACATTTGCCTAAAAAATAATAATGGCAGACCTATATAACATGTTACATTGCAAAGACCAGTCTTTGCAATGTAACATGTTATATAGCCCAATGTAACATATAGCCCAATGTAACATGGCCCAGTGGTTTGTGGTGGATAAATATCTAAACAGTGACAACACCTCGTGTTAACTTAATTACTTCTGGTTTGTTCAAATAATAAATGTGGATAATTAAGCACTTTTATTGCAAAGACGACTGGGAAACTGTAAATATCTAAATAGTTACATTGAACAAGATACAATTACTTACACCAAACAGTAGATTCTAGTATACAGTATATTTTTTGACAATGTGTTATCTATGATATACATGTTTTTTATTTACCTCAACTAACTTAAACAATTTTGTTTATTGCACTATTATGTTATATATATATATCATATTTAGCATTATTAAAAAGGTGCCTGAGCTTCAAGATGTTCATTGCCAAAACTATGCTGTAGCTATTAGACATGTAAAGAAACAAAGCCTCCCTATAACGTTAATAGAATTGCATTTGTGTTGCTCAAACTACTTTATGATTATGCTTGAAAGATAATGCGTGTACAAACCCATTTAGCTAAAGATGAATACTAAATGTATATGACAAGTGATCTGTTGAGTGTGCAAGACACCACAGCATTTCAGAAAACACCACAGCATTTCACATTGGACGGAAAGGGTATTCCTTGCTGTGGTGTCTTGCACTTCAGGGCCACCGTAGTTGAGCATAACATATCATTTAAACATTAGGTCCCCAGTCTGATTCTGTTTTCATTCCATTTAATTTTTTACATACCAAAAGACAAATAGAGGAAAAAAGAAATACCCTTCAATGTAGAATTTAATCACACACAGTATAATCCTTTTGTTAACACCAACACAATGCACAAAGCATGATGCTTTATTGTGTTTAATAAAACTCCATACATTTAAGTCTATACATCTGACGAATCTGCACTATTAATAAATAAAATATAATCACAAAAAGGACAAAGTAGGTGCTATACAGTACATGAATGTTTCCCATAGTAAAAATACAGTACTTCAAATTGTGTAGTATTCAAATTCAATATCTAATTTATACAGGTGATTAATTTAAAGTATAATAAACTGTCTAAAGTGCACAAATATTTGTTTATCAAAAACAATATATATAAATATATATATAAATATATATATATATATATATATATATATATATATATATATATATAACAATTCATGTTAAAAAAAGCATTTTTCAGTCATTTTAAAGTCGCCTTCCGCTTTAATGTCTAGTGTGAACCAAAAGCACCATGATTCCTAATTGTAACCATGTGCCGAATTTTTGAGGAAGTCCCAGTAACTGGTGCTTCTTCCATACGTGTAGCTAGGGGGGACCCACATATCAGGCATTAGAGTGTGGGGCCCTCTGCTGTGGGGCCTGAAGCCGTAGTGAGGCTGTGGAAGGATGTAAGCATTCCCTGGCACCATCTTCTTAGGATGCCACGAAGGAGCAGTAGGATTTATTGCCTTGAATACAAACAATGTTCCATCAAAACCACCACTAACAATCGTATCCTTTGACCCCAGGAAGCATTTGACTCACACGTATTAGGGGAACAACAATTTACAAAACATCAATTATAAAATTAAAGGTGGGGTAGGTAATTTCGGAGAAACCAGCTCGAGTGCGCTAGAATTTGAAAATACACAACCGGAGAAAATCTGCCACTTCCTTACAGAGCCCCTCCTCCAACACACACGAACGCGCACATGACCAATGAGGGCACGAGATAAGTTTGTGCACAGATGGAAGGCTGACAGGCAGGTAGGCCATCCAGTTATTTTAGCCGGGCCGGCTCAGATGATTGGTCGTGCTCTTTACAGTACCACGGCTTCCATAGATGACATTTTTAATGGATTTTTTGTCAAAGCACTTCAGATATTCATTGCTATCGGGATGTTAAGAGCATTCCATGGAATATAACAAAAAGTGTATCTCGAGCCGGTTTCTCAAACTTCCCTACCCCACCTTTAATTAATTTAAACAGAACAAAACATGGTTAATGTGGTCAACTAAAACCTGATAGTTTCAAGCCAATGTAAAGTCATGTTATGAATGACATGGATCAATGATGTGTGGCTGTTGTGACAGAGTCAATGGGAGTCTGCGCCCTGTAGAGTCCTGGGTTGCTGTTGAATCCTCTTTTTTGCGTAGGAAGGTTCCTAACGGAGTGAAATGAACATGAAGCCATAAGGGGTGTTCAAATTCTCTAGATTTTAGGGGGAAAAAACATCATGCTCCCCCTTGTCATCTCCTTCAGCTTAGGACCATCCTTTATGAGATAATGCTATCCCACAATCCCTTGCGTCCTAAACATTTAATCAGTCAGGCGTTTACAGAAATAGTTTACAGATTGTTCTTATTAATTTATGTTTGAAATGTGATATGCACAATAATAGATGTGTCTGCTTTACAAGTTACACACATTAGAGTTGCATACTAATTGGGATTAATGTTGATTATACAGGAGGCGAATGATCCTAGCCTAGCTTAAGTGCAGTTGAATTCTCCTAGCACCACAGTAGTCTTTTCCTAAATCCTGATTAATTCTCCTTCACATCTTTTACTAACCCTATGATGTTTCAAGAAAGTGTTAAGGAAAAAACCTTGAGCCTGATTTATTTTGGACTATTGGAACACAGAACTGGCGCAGCCTCCCATTCTTCTCCAAACATGCATGGGGTTTTTAGTCATGGCGGTTTTACAATGCATTACGCCTTACCTTGTAGTCAGAGCGGCTGTTGTGCACAGTGTGGGGGGAAGTGCGTGTTGCCTCCTCATCAGAGGATGATCCAGAGTGGTAGTCTGATGTCACCCTCTCCAAAGCCTGAGTCACCTTTGCAACATCTTTGTCGTCCTCATCATCAGAGAAAGTGGCCAATGAGAACCAAGGGTTTGTCTCTCCGTGCCTAATAATAGGAAAAGTCATAAAAAAGGTGTAGGAAGGTTTAACATACTTAGAATATCTGTTTAAAGTAGACAATTCTTTAAAAGGTTTGGTTGGAAGAAAAATACTTCATGTTGAAATTTAAAAAAGGATTTTGACATATTTGTAACATGTACAAAAACAAGAAAAAGTACAGGGGTGAAACACAAAATACATTTAAATGAGAAGAGTGTGATTCTGTTAATGTTCTGCATTAATTGGCATCAGTGGCTACAGATGACAGTCAAATATTTACAATTATCCTGACAAATATATACTGGTTGCCTTTAAAATGATTTTTTAAAAGCTAAATCCATTAGTAATTTTTTTTTTAACTTCTTCCAATTCTGTCTCAGATCTTTATGGCAATTCAACTCAAAGTCTTACCTGCAACAGACCTCTCCAGGGTCCACCCACAATGTGAGTTCCCGGGACAGTGCCAGATCACTGTACTGAACCCCACTTTCTCGGCAGGCCTGAAGGAGCTCTGGATCCTGCCGCTGGACCCGGTTCACTCTAATGCACCTGCAGATCACACGCAGCAGATTTTAGTACACTATTTGTGAAACAGAAAGATGTCTTGGAAAGCAAAAGTTATTTGTAAAAACTGCAGAGGACAGTGAGCAACACCTGTATGCCTGTCCTTTGCTGGGGTTTCCAGGGTACCAGTGCCCCTTGAACTTCTCCTGCAGTGCAACAGCCAGCCTCTCAACAAACAGATCGATCTTGTGTGTTTCCAACTTCCCCCCCTTTATTACAAGCCTCTTCAGGAAGAATACCACAGCTGCAATTTCTCTCCTCATGTTTCACATGCGTTTCATTACCTTCCTACAGCCCCTGTAAGGAGATAACTTTATTAAGATTGGCAGCCGTAAACAAGGCACATGTACAATAATGAGAATTTCTGAGGTAAATGAGGTTAGATCAGTAGTCCTGGTTTTAAGGACATTTAACCTTCACCCAGCTGGAACTTTTTTGGGGAAAAAAGCCTTAAATGTTTGATGAAAAGTAGCACTAGTATTATTAGGTCTGAAGGAACAACAACTCAGGGTCAACTGCAATTACATCCATTTAGTTATGTGCCTCCCGAAACTAACGTTATCCCAGACATTGATTTTTTTTTAAAAATGCATTCCAAAAAAAAACAAATACT